CTGTACTGTTCCTGAACTGTTCTTCCCCCACAGATCACATCTTCTTGGCCTCCACATTGTGGAGAGAGGATGTCAAAGTGTCTCCTGAAAGCACTGTGAGCACACCCTCAGCTTCAGAGGAACCATCTTCTTTACTGATGGGCTGGGATGGAGCAAAACCATATTCATTTCACAGTGTGCTGGGAGCAGGGGAGCTCATGCCAGGCAGGAGAAGATGCAACAGAACTAGCCAGAGGCATTTCACACCAAGGCTGCTAAAGCATCTCCATCAGCTGGATTCCTCCCTTCCCTTAACCCCAGTCAGTTGATCTGTGCTGAATCTAGAGGCAAGAAAGAGACTGTACCACCGTGCATGAATCGGTTTGACAGTGAGCAGAGATGGGGATGATAGCAATTCACCAGCAGCCTTAGTTGCTGATCACTATGAAGTTCAGATGAGGTCAGTGGTGGCTGGACTTCCTCACATGCCAACAATGCAGCAGTGACCAAAAGTTCTCCTCTCTGACGCAGACCTGGCAAGTTACCGACAGCTGCCTAATAATCCTGAAGATCCAGCCACAGGGCCATACTGAAGCCAAGGCTTGTGCAGAATGGCACAGCTCTGTGGCCCATACGGGATACAAGCTGACTTCTGGGTGCACCTTCATGGTGCGTTTTACCCTCTATAGTGCCCTCCATGGTTTCAGGCCAAGAAAGAGAGAAATCAGTTGACCACCTCCTCATGGAACCCATCACTGTGAGCACAAATAACAGGATACGTGGAAGGTGTCCACCTGAAGCCAACAAACTCTGCCAGGCCTTCTTCATTCATTTCTAAGGGGTTATAACCTTACTGAACCAAATTCCAAGCTTTTTCACCAGCTTCTAACCAGAAGACCGGCAACCTGAACAGCAGGTAAAATAATGGCAGGCTGTAGGCCTCAGCACTAGCAGCTTTATCACGGAGCTGACTGAACAAATGCCCACATGGGAACTTTCACTAACTAGTCCAGAGCCAGCAATCTACACCACTTGCATGCACTACAGCCACTTCCAGTGCAAGGATTTTCATGCAGCCTAGAGGCAGTGTGATTAGTCCCACTAGGGTTATTAGCTGAAAGCTGGCAATGAGCTTATCCTCAGGTGAGAGGTGTTGGGCAGAGTCATGTTGCTCAGGGCACATTCCTGGGTGGCCAAGGACTGATAATATCATGCTTGGGAGCCAGCACAGCCCTAGGGAAGCTGGGGGTTTACAACCCTAGATCAGCATTGTGATAACAGAGAATTTAACAGGGTCCCAAGACAGCTGTCCAGACAGTGATCCAACAGATCTTCTGAACAGGACATTTTACCAGAAAAAAAAAAGCACAAGAGCTTTCATAATCCTGGAGTCCTTCTTCTCCGATGCAGGCATCTCATGACAGTTTGATGTATTTAGACAAAAAGGCTCTCTGTCATGGGTAGCAGAAGCTACCAAAACAAAGGAACCTGCTAGTCACTCCATCACAGAGGTGATGTATTGCAACATAAGGGCTACATCTACAGCAGAGGTCTTATGGGTGCCAGGAGGGCCTCATGCAGGATTTGACCCATCATGCTGGGTAATGTCTAAATTCCTGCTGTACTATTTGCTGAAGCAGGGGAAAATGCTGTGGATGTGGACACTAGTTACTTCATGCTGCACTTATCTGATGCCCTTCCAAGGGCAACACTGAGTTTTTTTCAGCAGCAGTTGCCATTGGTTGAGCCTCCACTTCTGTTTGCCTTTGGTAACTCCATGGGTTTGCACTGGATGGAGTACACTAGGGAATGCCGCACTACCGGAAGGAGACTGATCACCTTCAGGATTGCACTGCCGCTCCCATGTCATGCAACTGAACAAGAAAGTCTCCCCTTACAAAGGCAACCCATGAAGCCTGCTCTGTGTAATCAATACACCGAAGCACATGGTAGATGGGAGCGATGCATGGGGACTCGAAATATTAAACTCCATGTACAAGACACAGGGAAGAGTTTCAAATTCCTGGTGAGCAGAGATGGTGTAGCAAGAAGTGCACCGAGCACAGCAGGAAGCAGAGAAGTCTCCCAGTGCCCTGTACTATCGATGTTGCCAAGGAAGCAATCCAACAGCCTAACTCCACGAG